GCCGCCAAAAATGGCCTTTACAAATCCCGAAATGCCTCAGACACTACTTTACGGAGTCTCTTACAATCACGTTCTAGCAGAGCGTCGAGAATACTCGTTGTGGATTACTCGTTGGCTCCGGAAACCAAATCAGAAATGAGTATTTGTGCTGTCTTACCTTCTACCTTAGCATCACAAGGACTCAATCGTGAGGAAATACCACCGCTTTTTAACCATACCCTTTATTTATTCCTTGAATATTCTCTCTTGCCCCTATTAAACAAACCTCCCTGAATCGAACTGCTAGGGCCTACGTGTCTTCGCGGGGCCGGAATACAAGTGTATCATAGAAGGATTTCTCAAAAGAATTGTGATGGTAATATGCCAAAAGAGATAGATTAGAAAGCTTAGGTTGGGGTTACTATTATAATATTAGGTCTTATAGAGCTTCATGCGTTGCTCAGAGAACCTTCACATGGTGGGTTGGGGTGGTGGGGGGGTAATGGTTTCTGTTCAAGATCCTTACAGATGTCAATGTCTATATTCCCAGTACAAGGCGGGTAAAACACCCTCAGTATTCTCTTCAAATAGGGAAACAGTTTGCCCGTTTAGGGGGTCCCGAAAGCCGTCCTCAAGTTCAACCACCGGCATCCTTTCGGAGGAGAATCTTTGCCAGTATCCTCCCTCCGAAAAGCAGGGTGGATTGCTAGACATCTCCGCGACAAACTCCTATGATATGTAACCAATCCAAAGTAACTATCGGGGATTCATCCTTCCCACTCCTCGGTCGAGGGATAGAAGAGTCTCCCTTTCTTTTTTCTTTTCTCTCTCAACAGATTGCACACTTTCTGTTTGATGTTTGAATAAATCCCTAAGAGTGCGTTATCTAGTACCGCCATGGCACCATCTCAATATTGTAGAACCTATGAACATAGGCCATAGTTTGAACTTCGCGGTGGTTCCTCGCGATCCGGGCATCCTTGTGAAAGTTCGCAAACCACTTGAGTCTTGCCTATGGTGATAATAGCACTGGTGTTCCGAAAGACTTAACAGGCTCAAGACAAATGCAGATCCTCCCTCAAACTCCAAAACTCCCACCCCGGGACCGGCCTCGAACTTGCCATGCTACAAACATGGGCTCGGCCCGTGTCGCCGTAGCGGTGACAGTCTGGGCCCCTCCTGCTCACCCACGATCACTCGTCCAGCGCCCCTGAAAACACGTCAAGAAAGCATTGCTTCTACCGTAGTAGGATCTGGGAAGGTATTCATAAAAAAGAATTGCATACCCGGATATCTAGAAACTTGTCCGCGAGAGAGTGAGATCCATATTTAGGTAATTCCCTGACTATAAAAATTACTCAGGGCCTCATGTTACCGAGAAAAAAAATGAACAAGTTTGGCTTTGCAAAAAACCCCTCGATAGCAATCAAGAAGTAATTAATTTTTTTAGTTTCTCTTTTCTCTCGAGCTCACTACTTTTTTTGTGCCTCCGCGGTAATGAGTTTTAAACACCTAAGGGCGATGAATAAATAAGAGAGGCAGATTTGGCAATGACCTCCCAAAAAGCCTTGTAATTTGGGAAACAAGCTCCGGAGTGGCCAGCACGCTGCAAATAAATCCATGGCCTCGGGCTCTTAACGGGGCTTCTTGCTCCGGTAATATTTTAAACTCCAGCGCTTCGGTAGTATCAGGGTGGTTATTGCTCTCACCAGAAGTAAGAACCCCCAGCGAGCAGCAGCCTTGTAACCAGGACTCCAATAGCAACCTAATGCATATGAAAGATTGTCCAGTCGCGCTACCAGCCCTTTTCCAGATGGTATTATAAGTAGCACTGTTCAGCCCGTTAGAGTCCTCTGTCTTATGCTCACTGACTCAGAGGGGGACCCCGGGAATCATGAACTTTCCTCAAGCTGTTAAACAGTCACGATACCTGGCAGAACTCGAGTTATACTCCATACCACATTTCTCCCTAGCCTATTACAGTTCTCGGACATGGGAAAACACGAGTACGATACCGTATCATGGATTCCTGAGGCACAAGTCGAGAGTGGTGGAGATTATTAAAAAATATTGAGAATTTTTGAACCAAGTATGGTGTCTGGAACGGACGGTTGGGATTATTTACCGTGCGTAACAGTTGGCGGCTATGAAAAACCCCACATTAACTATCAAAGCGGCAATCCCGTATCACTACTACTAAATCTGGAAGAGAAAAAAGCTATGTGAACTGAATTGCATTTTTCCATCGAGTTGGATAACCATTGCCCAGGATTCAAGCCACCATCGTTGAAACATACTCTCGGTGAAGTGATAAACACCCTTCCATGGAAGCCATTCCCATACTGGATGTGCTGAGGGTCATTAACTCCTCCCTAATTTTTGCCTCCCCTAGACTGCCTTCTAAAAGGTACCAAAATTCTTTCTCTTGGATTGAGGTTGGTGAGTTTACTGGCCAGATCATCGTCTAAGCCCCGTACCGCAGATGATACAGTCGAGTGCGCTAAGAAGTATGGCCTCCAATAGTCTGAACACATGTCTTGAGACTGCCACACCATTCAAGGGGATGCGGGAAGCCCGGGAGCAGGTACTACTTAGAGTTGAAACAGAGTTTGTCTTTCTTGTCGAGCTTTTCAGCAACCATGTTAAAAGTTGTCGAAGGACGAAAGGGGTGTTGTAGTTTATTCCGGAGGTTGTGGAGCGTGGTGGATTGCTCTAGAACTCCAGCGAATTTTGGAGATGGTTCTCCAGGCATGTCTCTCTTCTGTTATCCGGGGGTGTGGGGTAAATGGGGACCTGCATGATGGTATAGAGAAGCGTGTGGTGATCCACCGAAGGATCAGAACGCTCACATCATGCCCACATATACCCCTGTCTTTACCATTAGTTTATAAAAAGATGTGCAACAGGATAACTAGAGACACAACATAGAAGTTCCAGGTTAATCCTTTCGCTCTGTTGTTGCACCATGCACTAGTCACGCCGAAGCTCTCGAAGTGGTATCAATAGTGCGGGATGCCCATACGAGGATTCAGCCTAGAAACCAACCAACAGAGATTGCCTCCCTGATAAAGAGTAGCCTGCAGATTATCGATCTTGTAGGCAGGTTTGGGGACAGCTTGGCCTACTACATTTCCTCCCAATCCCGCCCCAGTGCATACTTATTTTGTTGTCCCCCCATATATCCTGAATTTCGAAAAGCTTTCTTCCTTACCTACATCATCTCCTCCTCTCCCTCTTCCCCCACCCCCCTCCCAGTCGTAGCCTGCTCCGGAAAATAAAAACAAGACGATTGGCTTACCTTATGTACTTAGGAAAATTAGTAGGTTTGAGCTTTAGGTGACCTGCACGGGTGGTATCGGTCAATACAGAGCCTGGATGCAACCCCGACAGTAGTACCAAATGTCGGATATCACGCTCCTTCAAAGGTCGCTTCTCTCCCGGCCGTCGCGGAGGATTAAGTCCACAGGCCCCTGATTAGTATTCGATAATTTCCCCAGCAGGATCTCTCGAGATGCCTGTTTTTCCATAGCAAGCGCAGAATATCTTCGAGCATCCTGCATGAAGCTCGATCAATAGCGCCGTACACTCCCATTTGCCTTTGATTGACCTCGAGATATGGTACCGCATGTCGCTAAGTTAGACAGGTGCGGGTTGTCGAGAACCGATCATGGCCAAACCACTATGGCCAGGTTAACGAATGACCTCTGCGAGTAATGAAAAGAACAGTGGATGACGGAGTGGGGCTCTGGAGGCCGGCAAGATGCAGACAACGCTAGGCCACAAACCCAGATCCCGATTCTACCTCCCGGAATAATTTTCTACTTTACAATTATAGAAACTTGATGACTTGGAAAAAGTAAAGTAAAATAACGCACTAGTGGCTCAGATACCACCACCCCACAATATATACTGGGGAGTATGATATCGGTGATGGGAGGAATCTACCCCCCACCTCCCCAGGTACGACCAACCCTCACACATCACCCCGAGATAATCGTGATCATCCCCTCTTAACAGTTCCCGTCAGGTTAGGTCTCAGTATTCATTGGACCCACAGCGCAGTGCTGTAACCTCTTTCGTAGCCAAGCTCTCGCGCACAGTTCTCCATCTCCACCTTCAAACATCACCCTCAATACGCCCTGGGTCTAATCCCCACCTCTAAAAAGCATGATGCAATATTCTCAGGCCGATACTAGCATCACAACACAGAGTCTCTCTCCAGCTCGCCCAGCCCCGTAAGAGAAAAATGCTGAAATCCCCCGGGGATCCCGGTGGGTATCGGGCAGTGGGTGGTGTGTACCTGAGTACATCCTCTCTGCGCTTCCTTTTTTCCCTTCTTACCAGTTTTGATGCTTCACGCGCCCCGGTGTCCCATAACTCCCTCACCTCACCACATCCGCTTCAGCAGCGCAGATTACTGGAGGGAACCGGTGGCTGCCGCCCAGACACAGAAGGTGAACGTCCTGCAGATGATTGTGGCTGCTCGGTGTGTTTTGCTATAGGGGGTGGTAGCTGCGTGCACACGTGGGAAGACGCTATCCCGGCATCCGCCGCCCCCTCCATGCTCATACCCGGTATTTTTTTAGAGCGTAGTTTCTCTATTTGCAGGTGGTCGCTGTCCAGTGCCCCTAATTTGCAATCACAGAATATCACTCGGGAAACCGGTATAATGGGTCCTAAACGATTCAGGTTGCCCCTAGGGATAGCATCAAACATTGTCTTGACTGCTCGATACCGCCTATACCTCTATGTCATAGGGATCAACAGGACCCCCTTCTCTCCTTGTATCTCCACCGCTCCGGAGTAACATCAAACTTACTTACAAAATGGGGAAACAACCAATTCATAATCATGATACAAAAGAGAAGGTCAATTAAAAGTGATAATGGACAAAAGAAGGAGAAAAAAAAAAAAGAATAAGAATAAGCAAACCTATATTACAATGGCATCCTCATCAGCATATATATACACAGGAACCCGTTCCCTACTTTCCAAAAATGGCCGGGGGGGGAGGCTTCGCACTAAACCCTCTCCTCAACATGGACCTGTACGTCTGTCGTGACTTTTACGCCCTCTCCTATGCCCCCATGCCCGCCCCTACTCCCATTCTCGTTCAAGCACTCCTCACTCCCGGAAATGCTAGTGCTGGCTATTCGTCCCTCAATCTTGGTAGAAGTTCCGAAGCCGAGTTCCTCCGTCGAGGAACTTTCCTCATGGTGCGCCACGGGATTGAGCGAGCTGAGGGGGTAGGCTGCAGGATGAGATTTAGGTTTGATGGGCTTTGAGGCGCCACTGCGGCCATAGGTTTCTGATGTGGGGTGGGTATAGGATTTGATGGAGGTGACTCCTAGGAGGCCGGGGATGAATTTGCTAAAGAAAGGCTTTATCGCGGGGGCGGAACCACAGATAATGCTTATAGTTGCTTCAACACTTGGGAGCCCTTAGCAATGTTTTCTATGAGCAAGGGGGAGAGGGGGAGGGGGAACTTACGTTGACCAGACAGATATATCCAGGGTGTCCCCTAATTTTGCTTGTTAGCTCTCTGGGTTAGGATATGAAATAGTGAGTCAGCGTACATGATGGGTCTTCAGTATTCAGAAACTCCCTAATACTAAATAACCTTAAGATCCCAGCAAGCACCCCCCTGTTTTTTCCCTTTATTAGCTCGACTTGTCTCTTCCTTCCCCCTCCAGAAGGGAATACCCACAGCCCCCCCAACACAAAAATCCCAACCAAACCCGCCTTCTGCCTCGGCGGCAACTGTATGCCCCAAATCATCTTCAATGGTAGCAACCAGACAATGAAGTCCGTCAAGATATTAATTGCTGGTAGGGTATACTGCAAAACATGCTGATCCAAACACACGCCCTTCATGTCCTTCCCCTCTGGTGTGAACATCTTCCACGTATACTCCGGCGGCACGCACCAGAAGACGGAGGTTAGGACTGCGGCTAGGCTGAAGCACGAGCATAACACCAGGAGGACCCAGGATACCCGAAGGGTGGTTCTTGAGGAGGTCACTCTTATCACAAAGAGGATCAGAGAGGCTTTGCAGAAGCCCAGGGATGTGAAGTAGAATATTTGGGCTATGTAGGATGCCTAGGTGGGAGGTATCAGTCTATCATGTAACTATGGGAGAGGAGGAGAGGGGGTAGTTACCTGACGAGCATGGGCAGCCCATTCTTTAGGCAGAGTCCATTGATGTTTCCCTGTTCCATATTGCGTTGTACCTGACATCACCATTAGCGCCACGAGCGGATGTAGCCGGGCAAGAAAAACCCCCAAAATATAAGTACGACAAACCTACTAAATCCGACGTCGCAAGTCCCAACGCAGCAATCTGTAAATCACCAAATTCCCAATTACCAAGTCAGCCCACACACGCACACTCTCTCTACGAATATCTCCCCTTCCTCCGAAGAATCTCCCCAGAATACCAATCCAACCCAGACCTACTCACGCTAGCAACAATCATAGTCCAATCATCAGCCCCCATACTCCTGAGAAGATAAGCCCTACAATAGATCCTCGTAATCATCACCAACCCCATGAGCACAGCCAGCGCGGTAGCGCTCCCCACCAACTGGGCGGAATCGTTATCGGAATCGTTGGTAGGATTTTCACCGAATAAATTCCTCTCTACCAACCCCATATACATCTTTCCGCGAATGAAGGGACAAGGGGGTGAGAGGCGGAAGAATGCAGGAATTGGAAGGGAGAAAAACTAGAAGCATTAAAAAAAAAAGATAGACAGAAACAGAGATGATTATATGTGTGTGGGGGGGGATGGGGATTTATTATGTATCATGTTAGAAAGGCACTTGCAGTGCCTGCAAAGGTAAGCACTGTACGAGCACAGTAGGAGGGGAAAAGGCGAAAAGGGATGGGAGGGGGTACTAAGGATAACGTTAACAAATTGGACATCATCCAGTTCCCCAGGTCTCCCCGATGACCCCACGGCGAGCAAGCTAATACCATGCGAAGTGGCTGATCTTAATTCCACGCGGTAGTCCCTATCTGGGTAAAAAAAAGAACGCACACAAAGAGCTTCCTCCCCTCGTTTCTATGGTGATCATGCCGTTACCGTAAGCACTCATATTTCTATTCGTACAGGTTCTGGCAGAGCTAAGCTCTAACGGTAGCGCGAGCTGCACTTGTGCTGTGGGAGTACCCAACAGAGGGTTACTGAACGGTTAATCCAGGTTAACCAGCAAAATAATCCCCGTCCCGTGCGAGAGCACCCCCCCGAACACCGTAAAGTACTTGTACCGAGTACGAGTACTTTGTAGCCTGCTCGATCTTCAACGCACCAGTTTAGTTTTACTTTTCCCCGGGAATTAAGTCTAGGTTGAGGCCCGGGGTGAAACAGGCGTTCTTCGCCCTCTTTTTTTTTTCCTTTTTCTCTTCCTCTTTTGTCCTAGTTGCGGCGGAATTGCATCGACTATCCCGGAGATTTGTCCCTGCACATTCTTTCTACTAGACCGGTACGGTACTTGCACTTGTAGAATGGCGATAATACTGTACCAGTACCAGTAGTAGTGCCAAGGGGTATAATCTCTCAGACTGCAATAGGTTGGGGGAAGTGATGAGGTGTGGTGCTCGGAGCTCATCGTCGCTAGGGCTTGCTTGAACCGTACAGTATCGTGAACTGGCGCTGCGTGAGGTCTACGAGTAGAGATCGTGGGAATTTGGCTTGGCAGTTAGGAAACTTGGGACTGGAAGGAGGTTCTTTGAGTCTGTGAAAAAGGGTATCCCGGCCAGGCTTATATTAAGCGAGCGTGTCGGGATGGTAACACTAAAGGAACGAGAAGCTGCCATAAAATAGTACGGCACTCGAGTACGGTACCGGTATAGCACTGGTACTAAAGCTCCACTGTAAATGCCAAAACCAAAACCAAAAAAAACTGTGGAGTAGAAGTCTAGGAGCCCGCATACCCGCAACCACCAGACAACCCAGATTGACAATCCTACTGCGCTTGTGCCAAAGGCAAATACCATACGATCGATCCCCTCCCACCGATTTCCCAATCCCAGGTGCTTTCCACGCAGTGCTGGTGCCCTAGCTGACCCAACCCCTGACCCACCATCATGATCATATGGTATCATATGATACTAGCATGATACCTGCACAGCCCAACGCTCATCCCCAGCTCCTCTCAGATGATTCCCGGATCTAGAGCTTATCCTGGAGCGCATGCACGGGGAGCACCGGCAATCATCGGTCGAGATATGATTGATTAGGGCACCGCCCTCCTCCCTTCGGCGTAGGTAGAGGTGGAGGTATAGCACAGTGCCGGAATTGCAAATGGGTCCTGGGCCCACCCCGCCAGAATCAGTTTTCCCTAGCCTTGTACCAGCACTATTAGGTAGGGTATGCAACGGCATCGTCTTGCGGCCCCACAACAGACGAGTACGGGCGGGGGCTCTCGGAGCTAGGGGGGTTGGGGAAACCATCAGCTTATCATCACTCCAGCCAACCATCACTCCAGCCAACTATCCCTCCAACTTACCATCACTCAGCTTTACCGTACGACTTTATCTTTCCAGGTGAGTATATAGGGGTTGAAAGGCCCACAGCCTACCGGTACTGTATGCGGGGCAAGAAAAAAATGCGGGGAATCAAGGGAAAGTATTGGGACTTTCCACCATCTCCACCCCGAATCCATGCAACTTTGGGGCTTTGGTGAATTACGAGACTTTTTGGTAACTATCATAACCTATAACACACCGTCCGCCTCGAGTTAATACCTTGGGTGCTCCCTAATATATTTCTGGGGATATGGAGACATCATTGGCTAACATGAAGTAAGACTAATGAGAGTTCCCGGTTTTACTGGTCACTGAAAAGCGCTGAAAAATGATATCTCGAAGCTTGTAAAAAACCCTAGTGTCGTGCTGTCCCGCACCGTTACCCGAGTGCAATTGCCAGGGGAGAGGGCCTCTCGTGTAAGACAGGGATTATTCCTCGGGTCAACCTAAATTAACAGTTGCCTAACTCTACCGGGATACAAGAGCTTGTGCTCAAGTCTGTAACAGAGTACGGTACGGTGAGAAATGTAATACGGCACTCTCTCCGCAAGGCAAGCAGGAAAACCGACCCAACAAGCAAAATATGATCAATGACACCAGCACCACCAGGCCCCACTACCGGTATCCCGAATTCGGCCGCGGTGTCCCACCCAACTACCGCACCGTACTCGTAACTGTGCCAGCCACTGCCAAAAGTTATCCCGAGATCCTGCTGCCAAGACACAGCACGCAGACTTTGGCGCGCTTCTCAGCAGCTTGGCGCGCAGATTTCATGATACGGCACTCTTGAAATTGGGGAGGGCCAACAAAAACTTGCCCGGACCTCACTCCTTTCCTTTCCTTCCAATTGGCATACGGTACTCCGGTGACAATCCTCACGAGAGCCCACCCTACACTGAACCGGACTGAACCCACCGCTGCAAGCTCCGGACATGAATACACCCCGGTGCCCGTGGATGACCATAGCGAAGTTGCTCCGTGGTGCACATTTACACGTGTATGTTGCCGGAGAAATGGCAAGAATTAAGCAGGGATGGTAATGTACTGGTACCGGCACTAGTACTAGTACTTGTAGTTGCGTTCCTACTGTTGTAGTAGACAGATCTGCTCCACAGCGCGCACATTGCAGTCGTACTAACACAGTGCCGTGCCCTGAAATCTCGTGAAATCCACTCTCTCCGACCGCCCGTCATTCCGCTATGGGTTTAGTTTGGCAGGTTAATAGAATTGCGAATACCGGTTAGCGAGATCCAGCACATCGGGCCGATCTTTCACCGTATCAGGAATATGCTAATCCTTCTCCGGGGGCTGACCGGAGATGGTGGATTTCACGACATTTTACGGTATCTGGACATCAACGGCATGCCATGAGAAAGAACGTCGGTGTGTACTCCATTCGGGTTCTTGCGAAGGGCCCCCCACCCCATAGAGTTGGGGAACCGCGGCAGGTGGAGTGAGGAGGTATAGTGCAACCGATCTAAAATGTGGACCAGTGATGAAACACATGCCGAAGTAACTGGAGTTGCCGATGCTGAGACCGAACCACCAGAGTGAGTATTATCGGCCATTGTGGTATACCAGTTCAATCCTGTAGTATAGTAGACCCTTGTTTAGCCCATTTCCTGTTAGGAAAATGTCATGTTATTCCTGAGGACAATCATTGCTGGGCAGCCTGTCTGAGGAGCCCCACCTTCCCAGTGTTTATCTCAGTCTGCTCCACTGAACTTTTCAGTACATGTTTCATCTCATACAAACTCTTTCTTCAATTTCTCTTTTTTTATATCTTTTATTTCAAAAAAAAAGTGTGAGAGAACTAGCATCCTCGTTTCAGATACTCTCACGCTTTTTTTACTCTAATATTTGTTGTTTTGGAGGAGTTATTTCATTGCCGGTTTGTATGTAGTTGGTTGGACCAGGTTTCACGAAAGTTGAACCATACGAGTACAGTGCGTTAGGGTCTATTAACCGAATCCCCATACAAGGGGGAGCAAAAGTCAAACACCGGGAGGTTTGATGTTCACTTTGGGGAGGTCTGGCTATTCTTGGTTGTTTACCTTCCTATAATGCCATCATACATTGCCTCTGCGCGAGGACCGAAGAAGAATCCACCTTGTACTTGTAGCCCCCATCCATCCATCCATCCATCCATCCTTGCCGAACCCTTGCCCCTCCCTCCGGCGGCACAAATGTGCACAGTGAGGCAGGATCATGCGAGTAGGGTTACCGGCGCAGTACCGGTACTCGTAAAAACTTGGACACCTGGGGACTATGGGGCCAAATATAACCAAAAATGCAACCCAGAGGATGAGATCCACTACCCCTCAGAGAGCCTTAGAAATTCGTGAAACAAAGTCCCCGGGTAATTGGGACGATAAAGACCAATCTATAACCTCAGAGTCTTTTTGATTAGTTTAAGCGTTTTTTTTGGGGGGGGAGAGGGGTATCCTGGTTACCACTCTCACCAGGAGTGCTCGGGCGGCCGAGTTGAAGTCGGACACTTTGTATGATGCGGGAGATGCCATCTTGGCTATCCAATTTCGACTCGGCCGCATGAATGGAGTGGAAATGTTTTCACCGTGCGGGCTGAAAGCTCACTTAACCTTGTCCAGAGGTCCTAAAGGCGACGGCGCCCCGTGCAGAAGGGGAGAGTCGGTACTGTACTCGAGTATCGGTATCATATCGTAGTCGGAACTCTTGGCAAATACCGGTATTTAAGAGTTGTTGCCGGGGGTATGACTGCCTGCTGCCAAGGCTTCGGGTTTCTAGTTTCTGGCCCTCGTTTATGCACGGGGGGTGCGGTCTCTCTAAGGTGGCGTTATACGAGTACCGTCCCGGTACCGGTACGGTACCAGGTAGAAGAGCAAATAGACAAAGGTAGTTAGCTTTCATCAGACTACAGTAATCCCCAAACCTTCCTACATTTAGGCAATAGTCTGTTCCCGCCGTAAGAGCTGAGGTTACCGGCACTGTATCCAGGTACCGTACTCCAGTTTCCGTCCCGACCCTGCATACGGTAGTCCTCCATCCAACTGTCCAAAACCTTCTCTTGGCAAAGAGATCCAAGAAAATACAGTGATACCGGCATGCACCAATGAGCAGAGCCCCTCTAATGTCTCGGTACTTGTACGAGTACATTGGGCAAAGGCAAGGCGAAACCAACATTCATACCCTACCCGTCCGTGCAGTGCCGTGGCATATTTTGGTAAGCTTAATTCACTGGACGACAACCCTGGATTAGACTTTTCTCTCTCGTACGACATTGGCGCACTCCCCAAGCGATCAATCAACCAATCAATAGCCGCCCACCATACGGTATGTCACCGCGCCAAAAGGCGACTAGCATACCGGTACCGGTATCTTCGAGAATTACCATTAAAAGTTTAAACCCCATAAGAGCAAAGACATCGCGACACCTGACCTGCTCCACCATTAAGAAATTCACAGATATACGCCTAGCCAACCTTAACTGAAGTCGTCCAATCCTCCAAAAGTGGAGCCAGAACCGTGCCTCATACCGGTACAGTAAGGTGTTCCGCGCCATAAGTCTAGAGAGCGCCCGGCATAGCGAACCTTTTCTGCAGATTTCGGCAGCGCGATTGGTTGAACCCCGGCTAAGATTCGAAATAGTGGCTGGTATTTAAGTGGATGGCTTTTTATGCCGGGCGCTCGCGATTGCGTGGAATACCCCATGAAGAGAAGCGACTGGTCGGTTTGTCGGCCTGTCGGTCCTTCAACTGTCCCCTGCTGACGCCACGGTAACCGCCCAAATCGTTTCTCTAACTGAGATGGGCAGAGTCCATGCGGTAGCTAGAGGATGGGAAAGCGATAAGAAACTGCGTTCAAGGGGAAGGAGAAAAAGAAAAATTCCCGAGAAATCTCAAACACTGACAACCCTTTCCAGATCTGTGGTGATATCGGTACTCCTCCCCCCGAGACCCGATGGTATCCAAAACCCACCGGTAACTCCGGTCTCGGTCCCACTCCCAAGGTCCCCAGAGTGTCCTTGAGACCCGCTCGTAACGACCCTACCGTACCAGTAGAAACGGGAGCAAACGAGAACGACGTTAGGACGCTCAGAACCTCCCCATCCTGGATTATCACGGGGGTGAGAGAAACACGGCGCAGGAATTCTCCTTCGGGCCTCGGCTGAGGCAGGTGCAAAAAAAGAAGAATATATATCATACAGCAACCTTATCAGGAGGGGCAGCTCTAGCGTTATGGGCAGGATCTAAATTATTCCGGCTTTAGGGAACAGGTAGTTGGCCGCGACATTCTGGGCAGGTCATGTTGTTGGACATAAACTAGTGCACGTGCTCGAGCCCGGTAGCTACAAGTACAGTACTTGTACGCACACGTACGGCTTTCGTTTGGGGTAACGACCAAGCTGGGCAAGTGGCGAGCAGGGGGTATCTGGAGGGAGAAAGGTGAATTCGTTAAAGTACCGATACTATGATATCTTACGGTGCAAGCGCAGGTGTCCTAGAAGGTGGGAGGAGCATCCGACTTCCAAGTACTCGAGTGACTTTAACGGTCGGGGGGATGGCCGAGGACTGGGGATGGGTGTTCAGGGAAGGCCGCTGTATGGGTTCTGCACATTACGAACGTGCGAGGGAGGGAGGGATCACAGGTGACAGATGCGACATTGCGGGATGGGGTAGGAAGGGTGAGAGAATTCTTCCGGAGAAGTGGGGACTAGATGATGCAATATGGGGTGGATTACATGGTTGAGGGGAGTTCTTGTGGTTTACAAGTATGTGCTGGGGCACGTGTCTCGTGATGTTCGTTCCTGGTATCATAAATTTAAGATACTTGGAAATAGGGTCCGCAATCAATACAACGCTGAACGGAACTCAACAACCATATCCCAAACAGACCGCCTAACAGCTGCCGCCACCAACCCTACCAACCATACCAACCTCTCTCTCAGCCCGCTCCCTCAGAACTCTTTTGAGCACTTTCCCCGTAGCATTCTTCGGGATCGTGTCCACAAAGACAACCCCCCCTTCAAGCCTCTTGTACTTCGCGACCTGGCCCTTGACAAACTCCTTCACCCCATCCTCATCCAACGTCTTGCCTGCGGTACTCCCGGGACGCAAAACAACGTATGCCCTCGGAAGCTCGCTTCCGTACTCCTCTAGGGAAACACCTATTACCGCTGCCTCTACTATCTGCGGGTGCGCCAGTAGTACGCCTTCTATTTCTACTGGGGCGACCTGGAAGCCGCGGACTTTGATAATTTCCTAGATGTGCGGGAGGAAACGTGGCCCCGTTAGTTTGCGCCATATGAACTATAAATTATGATGCTGTATCATAATTATCATATCATTCCGTAAGTGTCGGATTAGCCCTAGAGAGGGCCTGCCCAATTGCCTTTTGCTTCCGTGCATTCTGAAGTGCGAAGGTTTAGGGTTTGCCCTCTAGTTGGCTCAGTTGCCCTCTTACTCCAATCCGACCTTTACGACGAAAAGATTCGGTAACTAACTAACGTAGCGTAATGTGATGGGCTAGAGTTTTGGCTACTGTATCTCTTGCAGCCGGCACCGGGTTCGCGGGGATAAAAAGGAGAAAAGAATAAACGGTGTTGTAGCGGCAAACGAACCTTTTTCCTGTCTATCAGGTACCATTTCTTCGTCTCCCGATCACAGTACCCTACATCGCCGGTGTGATAGAACCCGCTCTGGTCCCAGGACGTGCGGGTAGCGTCCGGGTTTCCAAAGTAGCACTTGGTGATTGTCGGTCCGCTGCGGCACCGCACGTATCGCACGACCGTTAGCCAAGTGGCACCGGCGAAACGTCGAAACAAAGAGAGAGGATTTCAGATGCGGCACCGCATTTTGGGGCCCATTCTGGCTATGGAGGGAGCGGTCGCTTGTTTGCTTACCGTAGGCATATTTCGCCAGTGACGTTGTAGTCGCTGATGTCTGCTCCCTCGTCGTCTACGATCCTACACATTGTGAAGTGAGGGAAATAGTAATATTAGGGATTGCTCGCTCCTTCACCGGGAATGAGAGAGGAGGGGGGGGGGGGGTGGAAATGATCCTACATACTTAGCTTCAACGCCCGGTATCAATCTCCCTACACTCCCAGTACCGTCCACTTCCGGGTGATAAAATTTAGTAACGATGCAAGTCGCCTCCGTCATTCCCCATAGTTGAGTGACCCTTGGCTCATCCTCTTCTCGGCCCTTCACGGGCTTGATCTTCCGAATCAACATGTTCTGAATATCAGGGTTCAAGGCCCATGCAGCAGAAACCACCGTCCTCAACGACGAAATATCGTACTTATCCGTCAGCGGGGATTTCACGATCCCGATGGCGATGATGGGCGGGAGAGAGGTGTGCGTTGCCTTGTACTTTTCCACGGTGGAGAGCCAGGTTTCCATTTCGAACCTCCGGAGGACATATCCCGTCCAGGGCGTTCGGAAGAAACTGGTGAAGACCAAAGGGACGTTGGCGACGTGGAACATGGGAAGTTTTAACGTCCAAATTTGCTATCATCCAGTGTAACAGCTTAGCTCGGGAATGCAACAATCGAAGATGTACTATTAGCAGTGATAGTAAACATACCCCTTTGAGCGACTCCTCAGTCTCATGCGCAAGTTCATGCTGAGCTACTAGGCCGTAATGCGTAATTTCTACTCCCTTCGGTAACCCTGACGTTCCACTGCTAAAAAGTCTACAAGCAACGGTATTCTCTGCCGTTTCTTTATCGTCAAACCTTATCCAATCCTCCCCCTCTTCCCCCCCAGCACCAAGTAGCTCCTCCCAAGACCTCTCCCCAGCGGGAACACTCTGTCCCTCCCTGGGATTGAACACATACACTTCTTTAACACTCCCCTCCGGCAACTCCTCAATCGCTGCCCGAACGTTCGCTAGCATTTCTGGCTCGGATATCACGATCCTAGATTGCGACGTTGCGATGTGGTGAATTAATTCCCGGGGGGTGTAGGACGGGTTCGAGCCGGCGAATACCCCGCCGGCGCCGATTATGGAGAGGCCGATGATGGGATAATATATCTGCGATACCGATATCTTTTTGTTAGCTCGTTATCCGGGGGCCGATTCGGAACTGGGGGGGTTACGTCGTTGAAAGCATGTATGAGCACGCAATCCCCCTTTTCCATTCCCGCTGCCCTCAAGCCCTTGATCAATCTCCTAATTGTGTTACGGGCGTGGCCAAAGGTCACGTAGCGGGAGTCATTGTTCGCGTCGATCAGGATCTGAGATATTCAATTTCCTTAGCTCTCGATTTCCATCGCTCCCGAAGGGGGGGAGCGGGATGAATACCTTCCTATCATCCTCACACCTTGGTTCGTCAAACATCCACGATAAGACGTCCTTTGTAGGTATCGGCGGTGGAGTAGGTCCTTGAAAGAATGCCGGCTCCATGATTTTATTTCACCGTGCTCCTTCCTTCCACTTTGTAACTCAGGCTGTCAAGCTCGCGCCACTGCAAAGCTGCCGCTGCTGTGTCCCAGCCAGAACCGCAGCAGTGCTTAAGTATAACACTGCACGTTAATACCCCGCACCTAATCGCCCTTAACTGCCCGCCTGCTCAACTACCGGTACCACTTCTCTCCCCGGATCACGGGGCTGAAAATAATGGGAGATAATGGGTAGATAAATACCGGTATACTAAAAAGGTAAGAAAATCTCACTAACGTGTTTGAGTAGGCGGTTCTCAAGTATGGTAGCCCCGAAAAAAGAGATAAGCTTTTTGGCCCGCCCGCATTTTGAGGTTCAATTGCCGTTGTGAGGGAATATGATTTTCACGTGGCATGACTAATACCCATCGACAGGGCTAGTGCATGCTCCAAGTACCGTAGAGTACATGCGAGATGAGAAGATCTGCATCGCGAGGTACAGTGGCTGAAATGTTCAGACACGAAAGAAGCGTGTTGGGTCGTTGGAACCCCCCCCTCTAGGGAAATTACGACAAAACTCAACCCTCGGTTGCGGCAAAGAGAAATAGAAATTCACTGTTCCCCGTTAGAGGCGATTATAGCATCCTAACATATTTCCCTTGTATCCGAGCACAGTGCTTACTGACGGTACCCAACCCTGTAATTGGGCAGTTGGGCTGAAGTTGGAACACAGTGCTCATAGTGGTCTCTAAGGGGGGAGAACCCTGGATGTCAGCATTTCGGATACTCTAGAATGAGGCGAATGGAAAGGAATTCAACTTTATGATACTATATTTGCCTGTCTTTCCCTCCCCATCTTACAGTACTAGGAACCCCACATACACTCGCGAATACACTTTGCACTGGCGAGTGATATGTGATCAGGGATTACTCACCTACTGTACCTTACCGGATCATCACTAACCCACCAACCAAAAGTCTATCCAAATCACTAAACCAGCGCGCCCTACCGGCCGCAGATCAATCGGTGTCTTAAAAAGCACTATGACATCGTCTTTGATTATTTTGCTACTTCCTGGATGCCTTCCTGGCTGATATTGCACCCCCCTAACATGGTGATAACTTACACAACAGGGCTCCAGGGGAGGGCCGGTAGGGGAACTCTTAGTTATTGAAACTCTATCATACTACACTCCAAGACACCCCGGACGGACCGGATACACTAGTGCCGCCATGGACCCGACCTTGGATTTCCACCCCTTCCCAGGAAAGAATCTGGAAGGGGGGGGGGGGGTTGGAGAGGTCGTCCTGGTACCTGGCATCTCATCGGGGTGTGGGGCGGTAGTGGGGGGAAGGCAATATAGGTCTTTTGGTGGCTAGATAGAGGCTAAGAACACACTAAACTACGGGTTCTGGAGCGGCCATATCTCCAGATATCCTGAAAACTGGCTCCAGTAACAGTAATAATAACAATAATTAGCACCTTTGATGTATAACATGTATTCGCCTCATACTTTTCTTTGGGGCTCCTATAAAGCTGTGGGCATATTAAGGTCTGATGCGATGTATCTTTCCCATACAAAAACTCTGGTCTTGGCAAGTAGCTTAAAGGAAAGAACACCCCACGCCCCACACTCTCCTCTCTACTCTCCTATGAGACAGAAGGGAAAAAAACACAGGTTTTGTTATCTAGGCGTTAACTTTATAGCAAATCACTTTTTTATATTTTTTTTCTTTCTGTCTATGCTATTCCCCCTTATGGAGGTTGGATAATGATACCTCGGGAACCTTCTATTTTGGTGTGTTTGGCCAAAGCCTTGTTACCAAACGGCCTCTGTCGTAGGGTGGCTACGAGTGAGAATCTGTGCCGCCGCTTGCTCGCTGGAGAGGGAGAGAGTAGCTCGGGTGGATGGAAAATCACTCAGGAACACAGTAGAGTAGTGGTAGAATCCGCTTCGATTGGAAGAGGTAAATAACAACTATCATGTGGTTGCCTGTGGGAATTCTATCTAAACCACGGCCCACGCATCATCCAGCTTCAGTCAATTCACCCATCACAAACACCCCTCATCAATAAGGTGCATCAAATGAGTCCATAAACCCTAGCCGTATTTCCCGAAAACAACTTCTCCATCGTATCCTTATCCTGACCTAACTTTTGCATCACCTTGGCTGCCAGTCCACGCCATGTCTCCCACGCACTAAACTCTCCGGATGGATATATCATTTCGAACCCCATCTTGCAAACAGGCCAGTCGCTCCCCCATATGACCCGGTCAGGACCGAAGGTGGAAAGGGCTTCCGAGATCCAGGGCATGACATGGGCGATCACTGCATCCTCCTTTTCGGAAGCGGAGAGTTTGGAGAATGACTCGTCGTGCGGGAGTTCAGCGAATATGCCAGAGACCTTCATGACGATGGAAGGGTGGGAAATGGCGAGGGTTTTGATGTTGGATTTCCAGGCCCGGAAGGTAGGGTGGGAAGGGATCTCGGAGGGAACGATTTGGAGATTTGGTTTGCAGAGGTGGTCTGGTTAGTCATCAGTCAGCTACTGCACTGCTGTTATCGTGGGTCGGGGAGCAGGCAAACACACTAATGACAAAAGCCCCAACATCCCTAACACGCTCTGAACCTTTGACAACCTCTTGAATAGCCTTGACAGCCTCTTCCAGCTGCCATAACCCACCACTCCTGGTATCAACCCCAATTTCAACGACCAGCCCCTTCTTCCACACCCATCCCATACTCTCCCGGAATTTGACATCACCAATTGTCCCAGAGGGCTTATCCTGCACCAAATATCTAAACCCCTTCAATGCCCCCCTTCTCTCGGCATTCACTTCCCCTTCAGCATCCAGTAACCCGTAAAACCTCTCCACCGCCAAAGCCCCAAGATTCATCGGGGCCCAGGGCACAATTCCGAGAACGTATTTGCCATAAGTATGAGTCTTTGAAAGTCTATAGACAAATTCGAATTCCTCTAGAGGCCATTCCCATGCCTTCTTCAACGCGGAAGTGTCGTTTTCAGAGATTGCCTCATCAGAGGGTATGGTGTAGCGTCTATCCGCTTCGATGAACACAAACCCCTTAAAGTTAGCGAGCTCGGAAGGAGGGATGCCAGAGAGATATTCTGGGATAGAGTTTTCGGCATAGAGGGAGCTTCCTGGGGTTGCCCAGGCGAGGTGCGGGAGGTGGTCTTTGGTGAAGAGGTGGATATGAGAGTCAATCATCGGTGGCATCTTGGATTGAATTTTTTTATCTCCTCCGTTGGTTATACTATGGTGGTGTTTGTTGTTTCTGGGATGGAAGAGAAGATGGAAGAGGGGAAGGAGGAATCGAGCTTATTGCCAAATTTGTTTGCCCTAATTTTATAAGAGATAGGAGAGACACGAAAAAGGGTTTCCTCTCTGACGTCGGCGTAATCGGAGGGAAGGTAAACTCGGGGGTAGGGTAGTGTGATATGGCGGGAATGGGGAATTTACCCGAGGTGGTTATGCTTAGCGGTTAAATGGATCCCGGGTCGGATTCTATGCACAGGAGATAGAATAGGCTGCTTTTAAAATAATTACAGTATGATATATCGCTGTTGAAGATATTGCTCTCAACCCACGGCTGGGCGGTATCAATCTCAGGGTCGGTTTGCCCAGCGGGAATCTTAGAGTCCATTGCTTTAAACCCCTCAAGCTCCCGTTTCCTTCCTAGAATACGTGAGTTGTCAATCCTATTTCCCTAGGTCACGAAGCAATTTACCATCCCAAGGGGCAGTTACTTCCCGGGTGTCTTTCGGTTCTCATCATTTCATGCCCTATTCATTGCATGTACTATCCTCAACAACCTCTCCGCTCGAGTATCTTTGGTGAGACGCACATAGTATAGAGTTTGGATTATGGGAGATGGGCTTTAATTTCATAAGAGCTTTAAATATCCCACCGGAGCTCGTGTCTGTCTTTCGCGATCGGTTTCCCCATGTCGTTGGCTGCACCAGTCATTCAACTTGACACAGATAGAACCTGAGATACATGCAATATCCTACTGTCCCACTAGCCCAGCCATTCCTGTCGCGCTACCACCATTGATTCCATGTTAGCATGCCTTCATCAGGGGAAGCCTAAGTGCACATACTCTAGCAACACTACCCCGAGCAGATGCCCATTCTGCAGTGGGAGTGCCTGATGGGGAGCGGTAGTTACGGGAGCGCTGCTATCAAGACCAAAGAATGGGATAACTGAAAACACGATTAGTGGCATTCCAGACCTACTCCATTTGGGATCCAACAGGCCCTGATCCGCATGAAGATAACCCGTAAATTATCGAGTTAGCCCTGTTCCTTGACAGATCCCAAAATGAGTCCCATGCCCGTACCCGGCACCCACTCTGTCTGGAAACGCTATGCAGTCGGTGTTTGTTTCTCGGAAATCCCAAGCACGATGGTCCGTTGCTGAATAGACTCCTGGGAATACCAAAAGAGGAGAGTATCATCATTGGCCCCATACCACAACTGCATCCCTGTGCTCACACTAGGATATCAGGGATAAGCAGTCCGGACGGGGTCGCCCCGCTGTGCTCCGTTCTTAGTGGTATAGCCCTGGATACACAGGCTCTTCAGGAACGCAACCCTAGGGAACGCCGGCGAAAGAAGGGCCGGACTAGAAGAGTTTGGGATATGTAGCAATCATGACCTATCCCATAATACAATTCCGGTAGCTAGCGTGCCTGGCCACAGACTTACAGACAGCGCCAGCATTGTATCTCGCGGCCGCGGGCTTGGCCATAGAGGCGATTGCCCTGGAGTCATGCTTAAGAGTTTCTGCGGATGCGACGTCTCATAAGTTGTCTGTGGCAGCACCAGCTGTCATACGACTCTGTAATGGAAAACACACTAGCGTCAGGACGAGCACAATAAATTAGAGCCTATAGGGGACTAGCATCATAATAAATCCATATTTACCCATATGGGGTGCCTAGATTCACTGAATGAGGACACCGATGAATTCTGAGTAGCGACACCCTTTAATCTGTTCAGCTATTACATATTGTGTAGGATTTTCCCGTAGAAAAGTACAGGTAGTAGACCCAGTCATGTAATTAGCCTGTCTCCTCCGATATCCCAATACAGTGGTTCCAACAGGGAATCACACCTCGGCTGTAGGGCGAACGAAATCGTCCGGGACCCGGGCGCCGGAGAGCGGGTTTTGAAAAGGTATATCGTCATAAACTCCATTATCTCTTTTAATTAAACTAGGGATAAATACGGTGATATGTAAAACATAACAAAAACAATAATAATTCAGATACCTCCATAGATCTCCTCACACATATCTCTCCGTTTCCACGCGTGTCCCCATTCCTTTGCACCCTCCTACTATAACAAAGGAATGAGATGTTCCGAAAGACCCCCAAGTAAGCCACGATAACCTCAGAACAATCCCGAACAATTAGTGCACTAACTTCATTGTCGTTTGCTATAATGGGATCATAATCGATCACTCAGATGAGCCAAGCATCATGCTTAGTGCATATACTAAGGGAAATACGGTGTATCATACCCATATTCAGAACTCGACCCATTCGCTTAGGGCAGAAAGGTCTCCTGAGATGTTGTTCCAAAAATGAGCACGGGTGGAGAAGGTCAGTCTGGGAGATGGGAAAGAGGGGAAAGCCATCACATACTCCAGGATTCCCATATAGCAGCCCGTGCTGCGCACAATAATTGGCATCTATATCGCTCGTCGCTCAGCGTAAGAGATAAAATCCAGAAGTTAAAGTAGGCCCATATCCCCAAATACCATATGTGTACAACAACCGAGCCCCGCACTGGATTTTTTTCTCCACAAAAGAGGTTCTCGAGGCTCCTGGAGATCTACAAATGCTTTTGAAAGATAGCAGGAGAGAACCTAGGACACCTCTTAGTAGGAAATGTTAAACGCATTGCGACATAGACCAGAGCGCCTTCGCCTATCAGTACGATAGCTGTTTGAGTTACTATACAGCAAGGGGATATAAAGGGATTTTCCCATACTATATAATTGCAGCTACCCCGGTACCCTACAAGCGCTCAGGCTTTTCGGGTATAAATCCCACCTCAATAGTGCACTTAATTCACGACTGAGGGATAGGATAAGATCAATTTTGATATTGCTTGCACTTTCAACTGTATGGGGAATTGGGCCCATGAAAGATTCCGGATGCGGTTCGTGCTGAACTGTACAGTGCTTGGAAGAAGGCAACGAGTGTTTCCCGTCCCACTAAAAGCATACAGACAGAACCCCAGCTGAACTCTCCGGCGCCTCCATTTCAGCGAAGAGTATAAAACAATCTTCAAGTGCATCGCTCTGGAGGACTTGGGATTCTCGATTATCTCACAGCAATAGCTCATTGTCGACGTACTAAAAATCCGGTGACAATGGCTGCCCCCAGTATTCTGCTAGGGGGAAATCCCGGCGCACTAACAGGCCCATGCTAGAAATAGTATTAGGGATACTAGCTTTTTAACCTAACTTTGACAATTACAAATTATTCCCCCTATACCAAGGCTCATGAGCTATGATGTACTCGAGTACATACGGGTTCTATCCGCCAGTAGAGTTGTTCCTTGTACCGGTAAGCCGTACCCCCCCAATCCAAGCCCCTGACATGTGCCCAGCGTCAATTATGCACAAACAAATGCGTGCAGCACAACCGCCCGCGAAATATAATCCATACATTAATCCCCACCGGGGCGATAGCTGGCGAACAACTCAATCGCGCAATACCGGTACACACACCACTACTCCCGACCACTCCTATTCCTCTAACCTAACCCACTACCCCGACATCGGGTCCACAACTAAATCCCTGCAGCCTCCTTAACCTCCTCAAGACTAGCATCCGAAATCTGCACGCGATAGACATAGCTATTAAAGATTCTATCAGTGCCAGCAGGAGCGACCTCTCCGGTATACACCCCACCGGGTGGGCAGTACCTGGTCCCATCATTGCTGTTCCCCGCAGCTTCCGCACGGTAAATACCGAACTTAGGAGAAGTATTACCGGTGAGGAGGAAGACGTTCTCAAGACGGTTGCCACCTCCGTGAGCAGAATTGAATTTTTGCTGCTTGCCGTCCGCGTAGAACTCTAGCCACCCCTTGCCCTGGTTGTTCGTGTTGATGGCGAAGCCGAGGGAGTGGCTGGCACCCCCGGCGGAGAGGGGACCGGTCCAGACGATTTCGCGGTTGGAGCCGTCCGTGCCTGGAATGGTGTATTCGATTACGAGGTTAAGGTTGGAGTTGAAGTGAACGTAGAGGGGAATGTTCTGCTTCGGGGCAGCTTCCTTGTCCCATTTCTTCCTGTGGGGGGTTAGAATGGTCCGTATATCAGGGAACATGGAGGGAAATAAGCGCAGCATTCACCATTGGAAGATGACTAGGCCGTCATGAGCCTCCTCGAGGCGGAAGTTGTACCCAATGTAGTAGGTCTTATCCTCGACAGCTTTGTTCTAAGAGAGATATCTATGTTAGCACACAATCGAACCTCTATCAGGAGAAAGTATTCCTACACCAGCCCCGGACATAGCCCTAACCTCCGCTCTCCTGAAGTGAGGATCCCGATGGTAATGCAAGGCATCCCTTCCCGTAGCGGGATCCTTCTCGGTTCTGATGAAAGCAGCGTCTCCCGCACTGGTGAGCTTGCAACCTAAATCTTGACCTTCGAGCTCGACATCACCGAGAGTGCTCGGTTGGTCGCCGCCTTTAAAGTCAACAATGAGTCCTGCTGCTGCGAGCATGAAGGGGGAGGAGACAAGAGCGGCGAGAAGAGACAACTTCATTGCATGCCAAGTATCAATGTACAACCGGCTCTATATGTGTGAAAATAGTAGTAGAGACCGAATGTAAGCTGATAGGACCGCTGAAATCGAGACTGGGGGATTGATATCCGTACGGATGGTAGGGTGGTACTTTAAAGAGAATCCTCAATACCGCGGTCGGGTGGCCTACTCGATTTTACGGGTTGACGGTATTTCCCCTTTAGGATTCTGAGGGAACTGATATTACGACTAATCTCTGCTTAAAAGCAATGTTCCCGACGGAATATGCTCGGCCGTTAAAGATACGTTCAGCCAACGCCTTAGGAATTACCGTAGTCAGTTGGCCCTTACTCGTACAATGATAAGGCGGAGGCAGTAGGCGCCGGGTTAACTAGAAACATAGAGCGCCACCGCGGGTACACTCAAACAGGAGTGATTACTGTTCCCGTAGCTGCCGTCACAGATCTCAGATGAGCAAGTGGCCAATCAAAAGAACACTAGTAATCCTACTGAAAATGCGGGTGGACTACTGGACTTTGTTGGGTTCTACCCATTTTGGGTCGTGGGGATTGGTAGCCATGGAGCTGTTGAAATTTGTGTTTTCTGTTCGAGCGCGAGAGGATTAGTAGAAGCACTACATCCCACTTTCCGTAGGAGGCTGTTTCGAGTATAACTTCCTACTAGATTAAAATGCACATCATTCGTAGGGATCTGGCCCTACCCTATTAGTGTCCCAATCAACCAGACTCCAGGAAAGAAAAAAGTACGATCCAAGATATCCCGTGCTGCGTCAGCTGATTGCATCTATTGCTCCAGGGTGTATAATCCGAGACGTGCGAGTAGCCACAGGGCACGTCTACGTTTGCGATGCATTCTCCACCATCCCAATCCAGTAATTAAACATCCCTCTCTGGTGCTCGAGTACGGCATTCGAGACCTTCAGAACACACAATCTACCGCTAGCTCACCCAACTAAACAGCGGACAACCTCCCCACCCCTAACCAGCTTCATACTGTAATTCAACCCCCATGCTCAGGTTCCACAACTGCTCGGGCCGTCACTCCCGAACCCCTCCTCGACTCCTGCCTCCAAGCACGCCCAAGCCAAGATCAAAACGGGCAGCGCGTTGCTTGGCAAGGTTCGCGAGGAGTCACATGCCAGAATACATCAAAATTAGAGCCTTCTAATCCCGAGAAATTCAACGAGTTTTCAGTGAGAAAAAATTACAGAAGAAATTATGATAAAAAAAAGAAGGGCCTCCTTAAGGCCTCCCAGATAACAGATTTCTAGGGGTTTCTGCTCTACCGGGAAGTGTCGGTGACCAATTCCTTTCTTTGGGGCCCTGTGGTACCTGCCAAAATCAGCGGCCTCGCGTGCATGAGATGCATTGCAGGCGGCGTCGATTCCTTCAAGTGCTCCTCACTTTCTGTACGCGTCCGATAAAAATCGGCAAAAATTGTACTATGCACTTCAGACACTTGACCGCTTTCCGAAGTCTCCTTGAGGCTTACCGGTATTACGGCAGAGTTCGCGCAGCGGTGTGGTCATCCGGAAACCCCCATTTCTAGTGTGCTTTGGCTCGTGTCTCCTGACAGGGCAGCCCTCGCTTTCATCGTGACAAGAGTGAGACTTTATGACGCTCTTTGCTTTATTCTCTTCTGAGACGGGCGAAAAAAAGCTAGTATCTACCCGGGCAAGATGCCTATAACGGGAATAGTTCAATGCTTTCCATGCGTTCCGGAGTAAAACTCATCCCGTGCTAGTACTCGAGTACTCGAGTACAGTAGGTCGCTGGGACCGGAACCCCTGTAGGATACTGTGCTGAGTATCATACCAGTACGGTGCTGTACTGTACCTACGGTAAGTACTATTGCTTGTGCTTGCTCCTAGCTATTCTACAAGTACCGGTATCATACCCAAATCACGGATACCCACGGACCCTGCTGGCTCGTTTTAACGCAATTATACTGTACTTGTAACCTCCACCAGATCACGCCCGGAGCACGCAATCAATGGCTGTCAGACAATCGAGGCTGCTTGTACAGGTCCCTGGCACGAGCGGACTGAACACAGCGGGGGTTCCCGGAGTTGAAAGTCCTTGGCAAAGCCACTCCCCTATGTTCACTCCGTACATGCCAGGGACTTGTACAAGCCGGGCCGTATCATAGCTTACCTCTACCGCGTTCCTCGGGTACTAATAGATCAGGGTCCTAACCACCCTTTCACCTTTGATCATCCCGAAGTTGCACAACGAGTTAGATAAAAATCGGCCGCCGCGAAAACCAATCTTCGGGCGCACTAACTCGGTTTTAAGGATCTTGGAATAAAATGCAAGCCACCATTCCCTGTTGATCCGGAAGCGCGAGACAGATGATCATACTGTATCTTAGAACTAAGCTGTCCGGAGGGGAAAACTTGTTTTGTGTTAGCAAAGGACTGAAGCCTCGGAAAACAGGTTGAACGTCCGGACCAGGAAACAGGCCATAGATGATCCCCCTTCCATAGTCACCCCCCAAAAAATGCAACTTCCCGAATCGAAATGCTAGATTTATGCCCCCCGTTTAATACCTACTACATCTAGACACCCCTAAAGCACGCCCACCACTCCACGGAGCTCCGCCGGTTCGACCGCTATTCACGCCTACCCCTCTGCCTGGTGTACAGCATAGTACTCGGTGCTCCGTGGTTCTCATATAATTCCGGTGTCGAACAAGACAATAGGTCCAGTACATGTACTAGAGCGTGAGTTATGTTACATTTGCTTTTGTTCGTCGGTAAACCCCGCAAATGCTGGAAAGTACTCGTACCATAACATTATTAGCCGGTGCACGAAATTTCGGTCTTTAACAGCTCTTGAAAAGCATGTGAATTTGGCAGAGGACCCCCCGCGTCTTGGAGAAGCTTGACTATCCAGTCAGAGAATTGGGGAAAAAATAGGGTGGGGTAAAGGGTTGTGCATTGGGAGAAACCTCCTATACATACCCGTGTCTCCGAGCCAAGAATCGGTACCCGTTTGCTGTTGGATAGGCCCGTGCCCACAGTGGCCGTGAGACCAAGGATGCTAATTTTTGGCGTGGAGACATGAGCACCGTACCGTAGGCCCTAAAAGCGGGGAGTTTACAAAGAAACTGGCAATTGTTCTACGGTAGTTATGTCTACGCCCCGAATTTGGTTAGAAATTCAAGCGAGGCATCTCTGAAGTGCTCAAGTATTGATCCGACTCTTTTTGGGATTCCTTGAACACGAGTGACGTGAAGGGAATTCTTAGGATGATGGGGAGAGAGAGAGTTACTCGTAGACTACCGGCACGCAGGGAGGATGCCGCTCCGTAAACCCTGCCCGCTTAGTCATGCAGCAGTTCCCGCAGCACCCGCCAAAAATGAAGCGAAGGGGGACGCACATCACCGCTTTCCCTACGCCTCCTCCCCAATCGTTGATGCTGTTACTCGGATCGTAACCACCAATGGAGCTCTCGATGGACAGCAAGCAAGCGGATGGCGCGAGAGAGCCTTCCCCTCACAATTAAGGGGATCTGACGAGGTTCATCTGCATGTAATACCAAGGATGACCCCGTGCACGGAAAAAGCTTGATACCCCTATGAGACAATACTTGAGCCAATTGACAGTGCAGAACAGACTCAAATCAATTGGCTCGTGTGCGGGTGCTCCGGGACTAGGTGGACAGCTCTTATTCGAATCCTCAGCTACCGTAGGAACCCGAATAGAAGATAAATGCGCTAAGACCTTGGGATTCCACTTCTTGGCTACGCGAAGGGGAAACACCGCAAGCTCAGCCCCGAGTTGGGACAGAGGAAAATAAACATTTCCAACGCCCTATCAAGTGAGGCAACTGCAACGTCCTTCCACGGTGCTGGGCTCCCGCGGTACCGCTATCTATAATGCCGTATAGAGGCCAAAACTGGTTTTTGTGAGGCTACTCGACTACCATATTCTTGCCCAATGAATGGGTTCTCTTGGACATGCGGATAGACCCCGTGATCCCACCGCCGTCGCCTGTGTCTTCGCTGGAGGCGAGGCTTGGGTCAGGTTGTGACAGTAACATTAAAGCATAATCCAAAGACAGGAGCCGGCCCGAGTACTGACTCCGGCTCCCCTTTATGCACCAACCACAAGCCTTCACGCCGAAAACCATCAACCCCTCCGCTCTCCCCACTCCATCCATGGCCCTCTCCAGCGCTCCCATCGAACCTATAATCGAGATAATACCGCTTGTCCAGAGTGACCGCTTATGACTCAATAGCTCCCCTTCCATCGCCGGACCCTACATATCGTTTAGCGCAACAGGGCTAGGGCATAAATTCCCGGTCTCGCTTCGTTCACCCCGATGCATGCAGAGCACCCAAGCGGACGACTCGTTTCACCGCTGCTTTGCATCCGGAGGGTGTGTTGGCGCGGTCCAGCGTAAGTTTAATTTGGGGAAGAAGGGTTGAACCCATCCTTTCTTTCCTTTTTTCTTCTTTTTTTCGCCCACAGCACTTTCGGGTGGGTGGCTTGGCCGGAATAGGTAATGACAGCCATGACGTACTGCAGGATAGTGATAACGTCTTTTTTTTTTTTTCTTCTCCTCTCCTGTTCGGAGTGTGAATGTGCGGCTTGGTCCGTGCTGCCATAGCGAGGTCGGGGAAAGAAGGGGGAGGAAGAAGGGATGGGATCGGAAGGAGACGAGCAGAACCGTTGGGACCAAAGAAGCGATTGGGACGAAGAGAGGTCCGCTTGGGTCGGTCAGAAGTCGGGCAAAGTGACGATGGAATGAAATGATTCTGCCCATCTGCCGATCTTCTCGTTAGCCAGGGTCACAATTGGGCTACTCGAGTACTGCACAGTGCTCCTGTGGGGGCTCCCCAGCCAAACTACTCGAGTCTCCCCCTACATAAAATTATGCACAGCCATTTAAATAACTCTTCCCTCCCCCACCCCATCAGGCTCTTCCCTTCCCCCTCTGCTCGAACCCTTCCTCTCCTCCACTTTTCCTTTGAAGGTTTGGTCTGATCCTATTGGTCGGCCCGAAAATGTCGTCGAGGAATAATTCAGTTTCGACCACAACTAGCTACGCTACTAATGCCTCTTCCTCCACCGCGGCGACAAGCATCTCGGCGCGGTCGTCAGAGGATAGGAACACGGTTCTTTCGGATTTCAATCCTACGGTTGTCTTGTATATTCCGCCCCGCGGAAGTTTACCCTCATCCAGGAATGCAATACCTATTCACGACCTTACACCATATATAAAGGTTCTCGACCGCGAGAACCTAACCAAGAAGCAGTTGAGGACTTTACACGCTACGAAGCCTTGGGAGAAGGATGGCGAGGATGGCGGACAGGGATTGGTCTCGCGGAGGATGGGGCTGGGCAGTGGACGCTCAGTTTTAGGGGAGTCGATAGAGTGGAGGGTGCCTTGGGATGTGATGAAGCCGGCGAAAATTAAGGGCGGCGGGGAGGAGTTGGATGTCTGGTGCGGGAAGGAAGATAGGAGGGCACAGTTGTTCGATGTGGGCAACGCTAGGTACGTATGTTTACGCTGGAATTTTGGCTCCACGGTGCCGGAGTTTGTAAGGAGGAGGAGGGGGGGGGGTATGGGAAGAGGAAGGAGGGGAAGGAGGATAATTTACGGCATGGGCTTATATAATGCTGGTGGTACCAGGTACGTCTGGCGATTCAACGAAGGTTCCAACCAGGTCTTGCTTGAGAAGTACATGGAAGATACCAAGAGCAGACACTACATTGGGGCACTTTACATTAAGGTGAGAATTATCTCCGAAACCTCCTTGCCCTGCCCGCGTACCTGTACCTACGAGCGATACGCTCCCGGGTTTAGGGAGGAAAATTATATTCCCCAATAATTACATCCCTGTCGCTAACCCACTTCCAACTGCCAGACAACCCCGTTCCCGGCGCTCGGCCCATTGACATCGATCGGCGGGACATTAATCCTCGACGAGAGAGGACTCGACAAGCTCACCGCCCTCGCGAGCGTTCTTATACTGCTGAAGCGAGAACGGCAACGAAGACGTGTTGGCGGAGGAACTGCCTAATCTTCCCCTCCTCTCCCTCTCTTTTCCTATCTTTTAATCTACTCGCACCCTACTTTGCCACTATTTCTTCCCTTTGATTCACTTGTCATTCATACCGCTTGCATCGGGGTTGTGTGGGATGTATCATAATATTTGGGTGGTCGGAGTTTGGAGTTTAAGTGTGCCCGGGGGATCGGTAGCAGATACTCGAGGAGCAGGATGCTATTTATCCGGGCATTTTGTGTGGACGGACCTCAGTGGTTCAGAACTTTTTCAAAAAAAAAAACCCCCCGAAAAAAACAGGTTTAGGCAGGATCTTTCTTTTCACTACTCTTATCATAATTTACCATACCGGTACTTGCTCTCTTTTTCCCCTTCCCCCTCCTTCCTATGATATCCTTCATTCTTCCCTCCTGCGCTGCGAGGAAAGAAATACCGGTTCCTTGTCACACACCCCACCCCCACCCCCACCCCCCTCACCCTTATCCTGAGCGTGAGCGAGAAGTGAACAGGAGTTGCTTGCTTGTCGCATTCACGGAAAGGATGAAGAATGAATCATGATCAATTCGTGTATTGTACCGATGATTTTCCTCCACTCGTACTTGTGACTTATTAAGCCTCGAATGATGGGTGAGCAGGAGCACGGAAAAGAGAACGCCATAAGCCCGGTTGGGTGGATGTGGTTGGCTGATATATGGATAGATAAACGACTGAAAATCCGTACGCCCACCCTGTACTACTACTACTACTACTACTGCTACCTTTTATCCCCTCTTTCTCCTCTTCTTCCTCATTGATCGAGGCCATCTATTTTTTATCAGCACCAGGAAATTCCTTTCCAGTAACCCCCTTGTATTGACTGCGGACGACTATTTTCACAGCGATAGCAAACATTAACAGCCATCATCTTCCCCCCTTCATAAATGCAATTGGGGGGGCGGACTTACATCCAGCAATCTGCCCATCCTTTGCCTGCTCAAGAGCGGACTCGTTATTCTGAGGACCCTGACCAAGGAAGTTTTCCTGTACATAATCGATTGCTGTTCACCTCCTCAACCATTCACCGACCCATATCAGCCCCCTCCTCGACCCCCATCAAGAGAAAGCGAGAAGTTTCGACAAACCCTTGTCCAACCCATCCTCCTTCTTCTCTGACTCCGGTCCCCCACCGACCATCCCATGCAGCCTATCCACGAACCCGCCGCCAGAGCTGGAGGGAGAACTCCCCTGCTGACGCTGCTGGTGCCCAGCCTTTGCCTGATCCCCGGTAGCGGAGCCCATCAGGCCTTTTAACGAGTCCATTCCTATTTATATATAAAGATGGCTTTGAAGAAGAGTAGATAGAAGGCGGGAATGAGAAAAAGGCGGTGGAACTTGGATTCGTATCTGTATGTCTGTTGGAGCGTACTCGAGTACCCGTATGATACTGTAATTGCGTTGTGTTGCCGCTGAGATGGAGCAAGATGACTGTCTGGAAAATGGGATGGAGGCGCGGGGATATTTATACCGGCGCTAGGCTTGGGGTCTGGCTTTGGGCACCCGAGTATGGACTGTATGGTAGAGCACCATATCGGTATGATAGGATAACTTGACTTGGGTCGACGGCGGGGTAAGGATAACGGTGGGGTGCGGTGCTATGCGGTATGATAGTGGTCCTGCCCTCGCGGAGCGGCCTTGGAAGATTGTGGCGTTGACATCAGGGTGTGTTGGTCGGTTAGCAGGATGGGGCAGTGGCGTGAAGAAAATTGTGGGACAACGGCATTCCCCACCAAAAAACTGCGTATTCGGAATAATCATCAACTCCTCCAAAATATTTAACATACAAACCACTGCATAGCTAGCTTCAAATATCATAGGACATTACCTACAGAGGTTTTAGAAAGTTCTCGTCAAATGATTCCCCATCCATAAGTGTTGGATTCCAAATTACCTCCTGCAGCACCGTCAGACAGGGATTATTTGGTGTAGAAACTAGTATATTTTCAGGTTCCAGGTCTACTCAACTTAACTAGTGAAGTAGAAATGATATCTATGTTCCCAAAAGGTAGAGAAGTACAGTGGAGAAGCAATAGGATGAGTGTATGAAATTATTTTCAGCTTAATGCCAAAATCTATGTTGATGTTGATGTGCGAAAACTCAGTATTTGGGTGCAAAACGTGTGTTGTCCCACAATTTTCTTCACGCGACTGGGGGTATCGCCAATTGATTGGTTGAACAGAGGCCGCTAGGGATGGTGATCAACGAACACTCTTGTCTGGGCGAGTTGAATCTTGATTTGAAAAGGAGGGACGTTGAGTCTGGACTTTGGAATTGAATTACTCCCCCCTTTTTTTTTTCTTTTTCGCTATGGTGGTAAGGGAAGGGGGAGAGGTCTTCCCAGTGGCGGTACCAGTAAATTTACCTGGTACAGTACGAGTGGGCAATGGTATCATACGAAAAGACATAGACTAGACTACCGGTGCAGGAGAAGATGAACTGGGCCAGCAACAGCAGCAGAATCAGGATCGGAACCGCGGACCCGCAACGCCAAAGAGCGGGGTACAGTACTGCTACAAGCAGCCGGAAGTCTACAGCATCGTGCACGGGTCATTAACCTTCATCAATGCAGTGCAGTGCAGCTGAGACGGGATCAAGATTTATCCACCCAGCCAGTACGAGCAATTCGCAATGCCAAGTAGGTTTGAAACATACTCGAGTATGCATTTAGCTCGCCGGAGCCTTTTCTTTTTTTTTTCCCTCCCGCAGCGCCGAGTCGAGCGGTTTGTGCTTTGCTTGCCTGCTTGCTTGGGTTGTCTTTGCTCGAGTGGGGTGCAGGGGACGTGGTGGTGGTGGCGCCGCGAGCCAAGGTCGGGGTTTTAACTGGGGCGGGGGACAATTCCTGGGTACTGGGAGGGGGAGGGTCGGGGGGGGGGTTGGATCGGGATGAGGGGTACCGATTTGGTTGTCAGGTCAGGGTTCTTCTATTGTCCAGTACCATACCAACGCGCTGTGCTGTTATTTGTATCATAACGGCGCCTTATACCGGTATACGAGTACTATAGAGGGGCAAGGGAACCTTTGAAACTCGGATTGATAGGAAACTTACGCGTGATATCGAGAATTGCGGGTGTAACTACGGCAGTCATCGTGTAGGGCAGGAGGATAGTGGCGATTCTTCTGGGAAAAATTACTAAAATTGGGGGCTACGAGGTAATGGAAACTGCTCGT